TTCACCCCTTGCCGCTTCCTTTTTTAAGATTTGTTCTACCAACACTTTTTTTTTGACCCTCCCAACAGTGCCCACTCGGCTCCTCAAGCTCATTTTTACCTCATTCGTTCCTCCACCCTCTCATTCGTTTATTTTTTCACGTGCACTTCACACTTTGTACATTTTGCACCCCCCAGGCTTCCTTTTTTGTTCTTCTACTTTATTTTTTTTTTTCTACTTTAGTTTATTTTTTTCTATTTTATTTTTTTTTATTTATTCCTTTTTCTTTTGTACGTCACGTGGGTACAACTCTGAAGGGTTACTTCCCATTTTACAAGAAAAAAAAAAACATAGAATAAAATTCCTCATCCATGGAAGAGTAACCTCAAGCGGCGATATCATCACAGAGAGACCCATATGTCAACTTCCCCGTAGTGTTAATAGCTGTACATACGGGGTAGCTACCCCATACATAGCTTCGCGCGCTCAAGCGCTAAGTGGGAAGAACAAAAATAAACCAAACGGCTGCCATCACGAGGTATGAAATAGAGCAATAAAACCAGCTTGGCCATCTCGAAGCGACGCGATAAAACCTGCTTGGGCCATCTCCAAGCGGTCCAATAGAACCATTTTGGCTACCTTCAAACTGCGCTGCAGCAGCAAAGCCAGTTTGGTGTAAAATCAAATGGGAATGATAAAACGGCGGTGTCCGTGAAAGCAAGAGAGGAACTCCGGTTTGTTCTCAAACGCGCATTGGGACGACGGTGCGGGGGGAAAGCACCTACATCCACGCGTAACACGTGGACGTGTGCACCTACCCAGCGCCATGGGTCATGTCTTGCATCCTCTGGAGGAGCAATCAAAAGGGAACAGACGAAAAAGGGAAGTGGAAAAGAAAAGCAGGAAACGTGGCAGCAAAATTGCAAAAAGATAGATGGAAAAAAAAAAGAAAAAAATTCATAACACAAACAAAAGGATGGGGGAAACACTTATAGGGGCAAATTAGAAAAAAAAAAAGAAAAATCAGCACAGAGTTTTTGTGCCATCAAAGAGAAGCGGGGGGGATAAAGTACACCCTAGGTAGTCCCATGGAAGGACAAAGGCGAAAGAAACACGGGGCAAACCCATATGGAACCTCTCCTCAACACAATTACGAAAAAAAAAAGAAAATAAAAACACAAATGGGCAAGGCGGTAAAAAAAAAAAAAAGGAGGAAAGAAACCTCAGGGTCGCAGTTAATAAATAGATGCTTCCTCGCTACGCCCCCCTCGATGGGCGGCGCTCAGAAGGTGAGGGGAGAGTCCTGCTGCGCGGTGCCGGAGCGACTGAGGTACCCCTGGCGAGGCGGACCCCCGTTGGCGAAGGCGCTACCAAAATTGGCACCCGTAAGGGGAGAAGTCTCGTCATATGACAAGTCCAAAAAGGAACCATTCACATTCTTCCCACTCTTGACATTACTGTTGCTTCCGTTATTTCCATAATTTGTCTCACGCGTAAACACTTCGGCACTCCCCATTTTGCTACCTTCGTCCAAATTAAACTCGTTCAAAAAAATATGATTCTCTGTAGGAGAGTAGCGGTTGTTCCTATTGACACGAATTCCTCCACCGTCACTCACAAAATCGACTATGTCTCCATCGTCGTAATTAACAATGGCCTCCTTGTTAGAATATAATAAAATTAAGGCTATCTGCAACAGACTTAAGATAAATCCACAGAGGTTTGGCACGATGACAAAGCCATCCTTGATGGTGAACCCGTAGGTTACCCACAAAAAGGAGCACACCAGACTCCCTGTGGCTATTTCCAACGGGATCAGTGAAGAGTTCTTCTTTTTAATCACTATCTGTACGTACGACAAAGGAGCACCAAAGTTGATTATGCTCGAAATGAATGCCATGAATCCAACAAACAGTTCATACTGCTCATATGTTAAGACGTATAAAAACGCGTAAAGCAGAAAACATATGAACCCACAGATCTTGTAATAGGAAAATAACTTCTGTCTTAGCCACATGTTCTTGCAATACTTATGATACATGAGGGAGTAGAATGCTCCCAACACGAGACCTACTAAGTTGGGACAGACGATGGCGGAGTTATTCAGCAGCATCCCATACACCAACCACAGGAACGATGAAAACAACAACACGACGTAGGGTAAACCATCCACCTCTCCGGTCGTTTTCTTCTTTATTATTTTAAAGATCGAAGGGAATAATACTAACTGCATAAAGACGGATGATCCAATGGAGAGTATCTTCAGAAAATTCATGTCTGCACTTTTTTCTTCTTCATGCTGTTTCTTCATTTGGTCGTAGAACTCCTCGTTGGTACTTTTGCCTGGGGCATCTTCCTTTGGCACGTCTTTCGGAACGTCTTTCGCCTCGCCGCTTCTGCTCCCGCTGCGAAGCGCTCCAGCCTTCTCCACTCCGCCGTCCTTCCCTTT